AGACCCATCCTCTCAAAATACAAACCTAGATGTAGCAAACTTTTATTTAGATACAGATCAAACCCTTTACCACAGAAAGACAATAGCTGAAAGAAATGAGGTTTGGGACAGATTAGTAATTCCCCAAATAATGATAGAATACATTTTAAAATTATTTCATGACATTCCTAGCTCAGGACATTTAGGTGCAAAAAAGATACGAAAGAAATTACAAAAACAGTTTTATTGGCCAGAAATGAACAAACATATAACGCATTACTGCGATAGTTGTCAGGAATGCGCGATGAGGAGAAGACCCCTGCATGGACATCAAGCCCCTTTGCAGACGTTTCCAAAGGTATCGAGACTTTTTGAGCGTACTGCGTTGGACATCCAAGGTCCACTGCCTGTTACTCATCATGGCAACAAGTATTTGTTAGTTTTCATAGACCATTTTTCTAGATGGGCAGAAGCGATCCCTTTGCCGGACATAACTGCTAAAACAGTGGCGAAAGCGTTCGTCACGCAAATTATTTTAAGACATTCAGTCCCCAAACAACTGCTTACAGATAGAGGAGCCAATTTTGTATCTAAGGTTATGAAAGAAGTATGCGATTTGCTGCATATAGATAGACTCCTTACAACTGCATATCACCCTCAATGTAATGGAATGGTAGAACGGCTGAATAAAACGCTCATAGATATTTTAACACACTATGTTAACAAGGACCAACGTAATTGGGATGAGATGATCCCTTACGCGCTTTTTGCTTATAATACAACCGTGCATTCGAGCACAAATGAAACCCCATTTTATTTAATGTACGGACGTGATCCTACATATCCGTTTGACATAGTTACGGAACCAAATAGACCCAGTTATGACATAAGCGAAAATTTTGCGAGCGAACTCAGGGTTAGATTGAATTCAGCACACCAAATAGCGCAGGAACACGCAGAAAAAGCCGCGATAGACAGAAAACTATATCACCAGCGTAAAAACAAACCTTACAAATTTTCAGTAGGAGATCGAGTTTTTGTAAAGGAAGTAGTAGTCCCCTCTGGATTGAAGCGAAAGTTAGCTCCCAGATGGCAAGGACCCTATCGAATAGTTGCTGAGACGAGCCCGGTAGATTTCATCGTTCAGCACATACAAACCAGAAAGAAGTTACATACACACGCCAATCGAATGAAGCCTGCAATAGCTCGTTTAGAATTTAAGCCTTCCCTCGAGGAGGACGATAACTCAGGAATAGGAAATTCAAACTCAAATTTGGGAAGTGACGCAGACTCACTCCCATCAACAGTAGTCGATCCCTGGGATGAGGTCATTTTCCACTCGATCCAACAGGAAAGGACAGATTCAACACAAACCACAGAACCCATACAACCAGCAACCTCTTCTCAAGTTTCGCATAATTACGCTCTTCGAAGCAGAGGACCTGTAAGCGAGTACCCTTGGGTCCTTCCAACATCTTCGGGTTATATACCACCTAGCGTAGCGACGGTTACGGACGCGGAAGTAACTGAGGCTCCATCCCAAGGCCAATGTCACGAGCGCCCGTCACCGCCTACTCCCATTGGATTATTTACCAAAAATTGTAAATGGTGATCTCTTTCACCTGTTTAGAAGAGGTCATCATCCCCAATGAGGAGAAGGTTAGTTTGTAAAAACACGCGTACGGTCAACAAACTTTGTCGGAAATCGGAACTTAACTAGTAATGTGAAACTCTTTCTTTCATAGATGATGAAATTGAAACCTGTAACCTTTTAGTCATTTGTGATGATACTTTGTATCGCGAACGAACCTTCGACTTTTGTGCCAGTGTAGATGAAAAAAAAAAGTGTTTTTTGATTTTTGTCGGAAAAAGAAAAATGTAAAAATTGTCATTCACACACACGTTGTTCCAATCCAAAAATTGTCGCGAGAAAGAAACGCTCATTTAAAAATCTGTCATAGATTGAGCAATTTATACAATTGAAAAATGAGAAAAATTGACCCTCCAAATTAGAACGCGCACAGGAAACAATCAGATCTGTAACGAGAAAACAGCCGTCAAGAAGCTAATAGCAACAGGAGAACAATCACGAAGTGTTGAATGTTCGGCAGAATTGAGAGAAATGTCGCCTAAGAACCACATGACCTTGATCAGTGGAAATCTGCATCAAAAAAGATGACAGGAAATTGTCACGTGTTTACGACAAGAGGACATCCGGAAGAAGCGATGCCTGCAAAGGATGTTGAGGTCGACGAACGTCCACCTCCACGCAGACATTCTTTCATTCTCCTCTCCAGATTCTGTCAGAAAACTCGAAAGAAAAGAAGACAAAATGTGGTAATCTCTTGCATGACAGACTGATTGAACAAATTCAATTTAGACCCCGTTTGGCTTTTCGGAGAACAAGGAAAATTTTTGAATTGATATAACTTGCTCAGTCTACAAAATTAGAAAAAAATGTTTTCAAAAGAAATCCGTATCTTGACGAAACTCAAGAAATGTTACGCGAAGTGTCAATTTGTAGATCAGGTGTGACGCTTACATGATGTGACAATCGAGCACATTTCGATGTAACGCGAAACCAAACATGCGCGAGAAAAAAAAATGGAGAACGAAAAACAATTGTAATTATGATCTTGTAATTACAAGAAGGAAGCGAACTGTCAGCTTCCGAGGCTGCCAGAGAAAATGTCGCTGGCACCAAGCGACATTTTCCTTTGGTGGAGAGCCCTGTGAGGCCCTGGAAATAGCCCCCCCAAGAAAGGAAAGATATGTAAAAATTTGTTANAGCGCCCGTCACCGCCTACTCCCATTGGATTATTTACCAAAAATTGTAAATGGTGATCTCTTTCACCTGTTTAGAAGAGGTCATCATCTCCAATGAGGAGAAGGTTAGTTTGTAAAAACACGCGTACGGTCAACAAACTTTGTCGGAAATCGGAACTTAACTAGTAATGTGAAACTCTTTCTTTCATAGATGATGAAATTGAAACCTATAACCTTTTATTCTCTGGTAATGATACTATGTGTCGCCTACGAAGCTTCGACTATCGTTCCCGCTTTGACAAAAGGAATCATCTTTTTACCCCAAGGAAATTTCCTTATGACAACGAGCCAATGGACCCTCGTTCTGGAAATTTCGTTTGAAGGATATGATGAATATCTAAGTGGTCTACGTCGCCATCTATCTTCTTTAAACCCCGTAGTTAGGACGGGAGCACAAAGAAAAGATGACCCTATGCATCCTTTATGGATCTTGGCAGCAACAGAATTGGCAAATTTACGACTAACGTTCAACGATCTCGAAATAGAATATCAAGAATTAAAATCCACAGTTACTACAAACAGTCACTCTAGAAACAAACGAGGATTAGTGGACGTGGGAGGAAAGATCCTAAAATTTTTATTCGGAACTGCTACTTCAGAAGAAATCGAAGCGACAAATAGTAGGATAGACAGTTTATCCAAAAATCAACAGAAAATGGTACACATTTTGGAAGCGCAAACGACAGTGATGAACCAAACCCTACAAGCGGTCAAGGACAACCGGAAATACATCGACATGATGATAAAACGTCAGGAATATCTAGACAAAGAACTTCAGATGTTTAGCTATACTTTTGTAGTAAGCACCGCACTCCGATATGCAGAAAATGCTGTATCTGAATTTAGAGCAGGTATCACAAATTTAAGACAAGCCATAGAAATGTTGGAAAACGATCGACTTAGCTCTTATTTCGTGTCAAGGTCTCAGCTGTTAGAGGCATTGACAGAAGTCGACAAACACCTTCCTGGAGGAATATCATTAATAGAACCGTTAAATGAAGATAACGTTTTTAAATATTTCCAGTGGATCACTACTACAGCCCTAGCGCTACCGTCTACCCTTAGAATTTTTGCGAAATTTCCATTAATTACGCCGGAAGGATACTTCGATCTCTACGAAATCGTAAAATTTCCTGCATACTTTTCATTGTCGAAGACATTCGCCTATTATCAAGTTGATTATCCATATAGCGCATTATCCAGAGATAGACAGCTCTACATGTTGCTAGAAGCACACGACCTCCAAAAATGTAAAGTCGGATTAACAACCATTTGTTCACCAGAGGTAGCAGTATGGAAACTTCCATATCAATCTTGTGAGTACGCGCTGTTCATGGCGGACGAACCAGCAGTCAACCAATTATGCAAAAGAAAAGTTACCGTATACCCGAAACCCATGTTCCGGCGCATTGACGAAGAAGGAACTTGGATATACTCAACTCCATCACCCTTAAATTTAGTCGTCGACTGTAATCCCATCAGCAGGACTCTTCATTCTCAAGTAAAAATGATCAAGTTGAATAATACTGGAATTTTTAAACTCCCTATGACTTGTGTCGGTCACGTACCCGGCATACGTCTTACTTCTCATTTTCAATCCAGAACAACCTTCAAGGTTGCTATACGAAACCATTATGTCATTCCAGCAATTACGGATATACTCAATCTTACGGAAACTAAGATTTTGCGAGATTATATCCACGAAAACGTCACTACGAACATCCTCCGAACCAATGAACGAGATTGGTCATTGGAATTTTCTGGACGGATGCTTCGAGATATAAGTAAAGATATAGGATCAGTAAAAACAGATATCTTTTCGTCAACCTCGGAATTCACGAATCAACCATTACCTACTTGGACCCTTATACTTGCTATAGCCTTTACCGCATTGGTGATGATAATTTTGATTCTCTGGAAATGCCGCAAACATTCAAATTGCCTGAAGAAACGAAAGACAACCTTGACATATCCTTTTCGACAAAATATAGAACAAACGGAACCAACTCCGACCGAATTAATCGAATTAATGCCGTTAAGAGTCCTACCGAGAAACCGAAAAACAAGAATCAGGAAAAATTATGTTAGCATTACCCGACCAGGAGGATCCAGTTACACCCCTCGTCAGAGTAGAAACCATCCCCACGCAAATGAGACGAATGTAGAGCTCGCGTGAAGGGATCCGGACTCCTTGATATACTAAACTTTAGCATTCTTAAGGTAGAAAGAAAATTTTGTTCAATTGTTTTTTCCTTTTCATTTAGAACCACAAGTATGGCAGAAGGTCGACGAACTCCGGCAACCACTACCTTAGCAAACATAGGACGAACTTCAACAACTACCCCCATAACGGACCCAACGATAGTTACCATGTTTGAATGTCCCGTGTGTTACGAGTACATGAGTCCCCCGATACACCAATGTCAAGCAGGGCACTTGGTCTGTTCAAAGTGCAGAGAAAGAGTTCAACGATGTCCAGTCTGTAGAGGAGTAATGGATAGAAACAGAAACCTAGTTCTAGAAAGACTGTCAGAAAAAATTGCTTTTCCATGTAAGTACCGAGATAATGGATGCAATGAAAGCCGACTTTTGCAAGATAGACAAGTCCATGAACGATATTGTCCGTTTAAAACTTGCTCATGCCCATCTTTGGAAACATGTCGATGGGAAGGTACATATCAACAAATAATCGGTCATATTACAGAACGACATTCTACCATGATAAACCTTAAGCATGACACTGTTCGCATGATCATTGTTGGTTCGAATTTACATCGTGAATTTAACTGGACAACCCGGCTGTATTGTTATTATCGACATTTCATCATACAAGTAATTAAAACCAAAGGAGAAAATAATTCATACACCATTTATGTTATAATTCGAATAGTAGGAAATAGAAGAGATGCTACTCGTTTCATCGGAAGAATTGAAATAATAGGAAAAGGTAGACGCATACTATGGGAATCGATACCCAGGATCGTGACGGGAAATACACAACACATTGTATCTACAGGAGATTGTTGGACATTGCCTTTGACCATGTTAGAACGTATGCTAGAAAACGGAATGTTGACAGTAATTGTAACAATCATCCCCTCCAAAACCTCAAATAGCTTTATACGAAATTTCTAAAGAGAAAAAGGGAACTAAACAAAAAAAAAATTTTTCTTAAATGAAAGTTTACACTCCCATTCTTTTATCTTGATATGAAAGATTTCGATTTACAGCGAATGGTAAGAAAAATTTTGTTCCTAGAAAAGATAAATAAACTATTTGGAAAAATAAAACAAAAAGGGTTAACGATAAGCCATTTTCTATTCTTCCCTAGACGCCATGGATGATCTGGACTTGTCGAGATGGTATTGGGAGCCAGATTACGTCCAATTCGAATCCTCACAGAGCTCTTCCGGATCGTCGGAAAGTCTTTGTACCTTGTCTCCTTCGCTGGTGCAAAAGGCAATTCTCCAAGTAAGGGCACAAAACGATGACCCTTCGCGACCTCCAGCAATCGTCGCCCTTCCGTTGGAAGCCAGAATCGAGGATAAAACTCTAAGAGAAGAAGTACAACAAGTAAATAAGATGGCGGAGGATCGTGCCCGTCGATTGGCGGAAGAGAGAGAAAGAGAAAAGCCCAACCAAGAAAAAGAAATTCCCCGAGAGGGAGAAAGAGCAAAAGAAATCCAAAAAAAGGAACTTCCTCGAGAGAGAGAAAGATTGAACACACCCAAAGGAAGGGAAAGAATTAACAGACGACACACCAAATGAAAGGAAAAAAAAGGAGGAAAAAATGTACGAAGATCTTTCCATTTGCTTGCCTTCTGTGTTTTTTTTTTGACTACCTATGCAGACATATATGTGTGTATACATATATGTGTAGGCGATATATATACGCATGTGTAAAAAGTATTCAAATGTGTTTTTTTTTTTTTGCTTGCTTCATTCAACATTATAATCCAATATTCAAAAAAATATATATATAATAAAATGTTTATCTTATATAACATAAATAAAAATGTTAAATGTGAACATGTATGTTTTAATAATTCCTGATTTCGCGAAAGAAAAAAAAAACTCTCGTGACTTGACGAAACTCAAGAAATGTTGCGCGAAGTGTCAATTTGTAGATCAGGTGTAACGCTTACATGATGTGACCATCGAGCTCATTTCGATGTAACGCGAAACCAAACACGCGCGAGAAAAAAAAAAAA